ATGTGTGTGTGTGTGTGTGTGTGTGTGTGTGTGTGTGTGTGTGTCATCGCTTCGGCGAAAATAAGGTTTTCAAGGTGAATTTCTGGTCAATTTGTCTGGACGAATGTGAGATGTGCTCACCTGAAACGTGGGGAACATCCTTCGTCCGGCTTTCGTAACAATCATCTCGGTGCCCAGCTGATGGAATTCCTCCCAGAGCGGCTTCGCCTCCAGAGCGGCGCCAGCACCGAGCAGCGCCGGATGGAGCGGCCGTTTCGCGCTCGATTCCTCGACGGAGGACCCGCCGTCCTCGCTCGGATGATGGTCACCGTGATGACTATTGTTATTGTTACTGTCGTTGCGCAATTCTATCGTGGCAGATCGCGGGGAAATCGGATTCGCCGAATGAATCGGCAAAATCACCTTCATCGGATGACTGGGACTGCGAGATCTCTTTACTCTTCCGGCGCTTTGCAAACAGGCTGCGAGAAGACAACGGATAGATTGGTGCTCGTATCGCCACTTGCGTATATCTCACGATTAAATCGAGCGAGATGAGAACGATGTAAAGTGCCCCTGTTTCATTTTGTTAGCGTCGCTGCTTTACAGTTTAAGTAAAAAAAATTGCGGGAAAATTGCGAAAAATACAGTCGGTGATTAGTTGATCTATAGATTTATATCTAAATTAGACTTATCCGTAATTTAGATTTATCAAAAATACTTTTGATAACAGACCAATACCTCAAAAATCTCTAAAGCTTATGTTCGCAATGTTATAGTACGTACGTTACTTTTACTCTACTAATTGTTTCGCACCTAACATGTATCAACTTTCATATGCTAGCTTTCGAATCATAAATAACTGTTGTTAAAATTATCGGATACCGGACATCCGAAAAGAGAATGTAACATCAGATATCCGATATCCGACCGGGTTCCGGGACAATATCTAAAAAAAAAGCTGACAAAAGAAAAAGGGACTGTAAGTTACATTCTCGGTTACGTTCTTTTCGGATGTCCGATAATTACAATCCGGTGCATTCCTAGAATCCTTTTCTCCCTTTCAAGCAAAGAAAACGTTACATCACTCATTCTTATCGTTGTTTGTTTCGTATTTTCGAGTTACAACAGAAAAATAATGATAATAATTATATGATTGTAATGGCAGGTAATTATTAACATAATATAATTATTATAAAATAATATTAATTGTTTGCAATGCAATTCGACATTAGTAATCAAAGTTTGATATTAATAAATTTGTCATTATGAATAATAACATTTCAGCATTTTTCGGTGACAATCTATTTCGATTGTCGGTATAAATCAATTTTTCTGTGCTGACAAATCTTTCCGAATACATGGAAGATGATGGAGCACTAAAATATTTCAAAACCAAAATTTTGAGATATGAATACTCTGAAACATGAATTTTTTACTATGTTAAGGGTATCTACATTTCTCGGTGATAGAGGTTCTGTCAGATATTTCGTTAATTCAGCATCGTAAATTGCAGTTTTCTATTAATGCAAGCGGTTCATATGTAATGCGGAACACGCTCTTTATCCTATTCCTTTTTTTTTTTTACTTCCAACGTGAAAAGAAAAAAAAGAGGAAAAACAAACTGTGTACGAAGTTGAGCTGAAAAGAATAGAAGTCTGCATCAGTGATGCAAACTTTCAATATAAAATTTCAACCGCGTATACTCCCGGATACTAACGATATCCGATTATCCGGTCGGATAGTAACTTTCCGATGCATCCCTAAAGAATATTACCTACGTGCAAAAAATGCAAAAAATGCAACAATTAATATAAAGTAGTATTACTTAAACATTCCGCGTATTATACTAATACTAGCAGCAGATCGAGTAACGGAATTTTTAACTAAAAAATAACATTTTTTCTATCTGTCATTCACCTTCCATTTGTTGCATGGGCGACGGTACAGTGGCCAGATGTTGCTGTTGCTGCTGAATCTGCTGTTGCTGCTGCTGCTGCTGCTGCTGCTGCTGCTGCTGATGATGATGATGATGATGATGGTGATAATGATGCGCCGACCATTGCTGATAGCAGCAATTATCGGCGGTGATTTCGCGTCGTTGCTCGTGATGTTGCGATTGCATCGTCAAATTGGCGATCATCAATGAATGTCAGTTATTACAATTAATATTTTGATTACGTGACGAAAAAATAGAAATTATTCACGTGAATCCATATCGCGAAATTGACTTCAACTTGGTGCGCCTTGTGGTGCACGATCCTTGGACATAATTTCCAACGTAACGAAAGATTTAATGACGCAAGACGACACCATTCGCACTCGCGGATTAATTTCATCATCATAAGTATATAGTAGGTATCCTTGGAAGTTTTGGAGCATGGATCGAATTCCCACGCGGAAGTGTGAACGTTTGGATCAGAAGACGCGCACTTTATTGAAAATCATTGTTCGGATAATCTGCACCTCAATCTCGACCTCACACCTCACCTTCGTGATATACGTGACGTGGGTCGATCGTGGATATGACGGTATGATCATTGGCTGCGATCCACGCGTATATCGGCATCGCTCGGTGGCATCCCGCTTTCGCGAGAGCGAGCTTTCATCAAGATGCAGGAAAGTCTCGTTTTCCCAACCCCTACCTCTCCGTTACAAATACGTTATTAATGTCGTGGGTATAATGTTAAGTACAATGTAAATGCGAAACAAGCGGATTTCTTCAGCGGCTTCCCATTGAAAGAAGATCCGACCGTGATTTCAGCGGGCGCCGTCGTGACACCGGCGTTCCGATCTCGACCGAGTGCCCGACGAATACCCGATGTCTCGGCATCGTCGAGACGGAGAATGAGACCGTTTCGCTTTGCCGTTAACAGGACTTGTCCTCACCTCCGTGTCCGGACGTTGACAAGGACGCTCAAAGCTGCTCAAAGCCGTTCAAAGTCGCGCCGCGCCGCGCCGCGTCGCGTCGCGCCACGCGAATCCCGGATGAATCGGAAAGAACTCGCCCGAGGAAAGAACTACCCCGCTCTAGCTGCTTATCATCGCGGCATCGTTCTCTCTCTCCGAGGCAGCTTTTCGTTCCGTCTCGATCTCTTGGCTCCGCTTGCATTTGGAGAATCCGTCCCAAGGAGGGAGAAGGATGAAACGCGAGAGCGACGCGTGAGGGAGGGGCGCGAGGGGAAGAGAGGAGGTCTTCTCCGAGGATCCTCCTACACCGGCGTCACCGGCACCCATCAGCACCCACCAGCACCCACGCTTCCCGTCGCTGCCGGCGCGCGGTTGGACGGCAATCGGATGCTGCACGAATCTTGCGGCCTAGCTCTTGCTCGTCTTCGATGCCAGAAGGCGGAGCCTTCTTCTCGCCGAGCCAGAAATGTGTCAGGGGTAGGTAGGTAGGTAGGTAGGTAGGTAGGTAGGTAGGTAGGTAGGTAGGTAGATAGGTAGGTAGGTAGGTAGGTAGGTAGATAGGTAGGTAGGTGCAATGGACTCAGGAATGGGCCTTTCCATTCTTGACACCCAAGAATAAATATTTCTATTTTATGTACATATATATTATATATATATATAGCTTCTCAATCCATGTTCCATTATCGAGAGCGCAATCGGGAAGAAAGGGAGAATGCGACGATTCTAGAAAAAATAAATTGAAAATGAATAATATTTTTTCCTCTGTGAAACAAATGCTTGCTTTCGAAGCATTCAACTTAATGAAACAGAGAGAGAGAGAGAGAGAG